ATTTCGTGGTGGCGTGCGGCCATTCTAAATGGGATTCCATCGACAATCGCAACCCCTCTCGGCGATCTGCATGTCCGCATATGAAAATGTGTGTGTGTGTTATCACGAATTGTTAATCTCATGCACCAAACTAGACAATTATAAACTGTTAAACACACATTCGTGCTGCATTACGTGGCACACGTGAAGCCATAAATTTGTTTATCTGTACGTAGCAGTTAACAGAATGTGAAACAGCAGCATTGAAAAGGGATTAGTGGAGTGAAATTTATATTTGGATAGCATTCTAGGCGGGTAGTCTCCCCCGGGGGGTGAATATTGCTTGTGCATGCACTTCACTAATTATGCAGCAATCAGAGGTTTTGTCTTAAAAAAACAGCCGAGCGCAGTTAATGTTTCACAAGCTCACACGCCTTGTCAGCTTTCGTAATAACTAGGCTAGACTGATTTGAATTAATTGGTGAAATTGATGGCTTGCAGGGGAGGGGAAATTCTCACACGACAGCCTGATCGAGACACATTGTAGGCATTGCTCGAAGATTCAATCGCGAGCATCGTAAAAGGATTCATAGCAATTCTAGGAAGGATCGAAAATCGAAAAACCGACTTTTCATACAATTTTCAACTCATCCGTCGCTCTGAGGATCTTATTTCTTTTGCTACTTGACCAGGAAAAAGGGGAAAATCACTCCGCAAGTTGAGACCATTAACTTTGTGATTATTGCTCAAATTTTGATTATTTCGTACAAGATTCTGATTTTTTAAAATTATATTTCCTGAATATTTGATTTAAAATTGATTATTTCATACAAATTCGGATTATTTTTTGATTATTTTCTGAATATATGTAATAAAATTTTGCATATAATTGAATAATTTGATATTTTATTTAGAATTTGATTATTTTTCAATTTTACTTTGAAAAATATTTTTTTTTTTATTATATCATTCAAAATTTGTGTTTTTTTTCTCAAATTTACTTTGGAAAATATTCATTTTTTGATTATTTCATTCAGAATTTGATGATTGAGATTTTAAAGTAATTTTAGTTTAGAACTTCTTTGTGATTTGTTTATTCAAAATATGATGAGAAAATATTCAGTGTTTTTATATTATTTACTTCAATATTTGGTTATTTTGATTTTTTGTAATTTTAGTTGGGAAAATAATTTTTTTCAATAATTTTTTTTAATTTTTTATTGAGAAACTATTCATTTTTTGACTATTTAATTCAGTATTTGATAATATTTTGATTTATTTTTCAGTTTCACTTGGGAAAATAATCTTTTTTTGATTATTTTACTCATATAATTAATTATTTGATTAGAGAACATTAAGTTTCCTCAAAAGTCGCCTTGTGATTTGCCCCTTGACCCAGGAATTTTCGACAGAAAGCAATATACATAACCTTTAGGATAACTTTCTTATAACTAGAGTGCATTGCTATGCTAAGTTCGATATTCCGGGATTTGGCCGATCTCCTGACTTCGGCCCTGGCTGCGTGTGAAATATGCAATTTGTTTTCCCATCCGTGCGTATTCGTTTGCGGGGTTGGGGCGCGTGTGGCGGGAATGCCAGCGGAATCCAATTTCCCTCCAGCGTCTGCTGTAATCTCCGTGGGTGGCGATTTTCACCTGGAGAGCAGAGCGTCTTCTCGCCGCCGAGACGGACAGTGAGTGGGCCAAAAATGAGAGTGGCTGAGTGCAAAAGCTCCCATCTTAAACCTATTTGGACTTGGAAATGGGTGAATGTGAATTGAGTTTGTGCGGGGGCGGGGGTGAAAGCGGGGGGAGAGAGTGAGAGGGAGAGAGAGTGCATGGCACTTGTGCTGAGGAAGAGCGATTGCGAGGATTTTTGGGGGGATGGCAAATGGGACAATGGTCTCTCCTCAGTGAGAATTCAAAAAGCAAAGTGGTGGCACAGTCTCTAAAGCATCAACACATTGAATATTCCTCCAATCCATCCAATTCGTCCTCCTTCGCCCCATTCGAAGACTCTGGCTCGCCCTCATCCAGCCACTTCGCTGAATGAGAGATGAGACAGGCACTCGATGCTTTTAGACGGAATGAGCTTTATCCGTAGTCAATATTGTAAGAGCTTTTCCACCCACTTCAGCCCCACCATCGCATCCAAAACATCCACACACACACACACTCAGTCACTCTCGCCTCCCGGCGGCTAAGATTGAGGTTGGGGCGGAGGAGGGTGGATTTTTTGAAAGCCAGAGAATTCCATATACTGAAGACTCAGCATTGGGAGACTCCGAATTGGCGGGATCAGTGCGAAAATGGATATAAAAGGAGGTCTCCTGCCCCCAAAAACTCACACTGTATATATGCGGTGGTGGTGGTGGAGGAAGTGGGAAAAAGTGAGACGCTTTCACCTCCATGGAGCGGAGGGAAAGAAAAAAATTGAATTTTCCTCTCTCGTGCCACCCTCACTTAAGATACACTGCACTTCCGAAAATTGTTTTAGAGACGGAAAGAGAGAAAAGGATTTCTTTAGCGTCTTCCACGGAATATTATGACAAATCTCAATTTGTGACAATTTCATTTTATTCCTTCACTTTCTCCTTCGCCATGTGTAATCCCATTTCTCCGTTTTCCTCCTGACTTTTCCTCACAATTCCCTCAGTCGCGTGGAATTTCTGATTTTCCACCCCTCGACACGTGGCTTTTTTCCTCCAGCCAAATGTATGCTTCTTCCAATCTTAAGAGTGTCTCAATATGGTGGAAATAAATGGCAAAAGACATACTTTTTCGGCGTGATTCGACACCTCAAAGTTTCGCCAATGTGTGTAATGTCTTCAGTATGTAAAAGCGCTCTGAGATGTTCGAATTCTGTCGTGATGTATTTTTTTTCTTATACCATCAACTTCACACTCTTGAGACACTATTTCCTAGAATACACCCAGGAGAAGAATGCTTCAAGTAGTGTTTCTGACATTTTTAAAATTAAGTTGTAAATTCTCGTTACACTTTCACGAATTATTTGCAATTTCTCTGAAATTTTCTGACACTTTTCAAGATCATGCATAAGATTTCTACATTAATTTTCTTTACCGTTCTTTCCCCCAAAAAAAGAAAAACATCCCAAAAGTTTAAACTTGCCAAGTGAGCAATTCTCTATATCCACGTGAATTCCAGCGATATTTCTATGCTATCACCAGCCATTGTTGGGGGATGAACTTGAGGCGAATGCGGCTCAATGGAGTGTGAGATGGGGTGGGGAGATTCACTCTATCCTCCCACAATGGCACTCCTCGAATATATGGGATGATGTTTGGAAAATTTAGAAGCTCAACAGCATAATAACTGTTAGTGACATTTGCACAAGTTGTAATGGGATAATAGAGCTCAAAGTTGATATCTCTCCTCATATCGTTATTATTATTATTCGTCGTCTTATTGTTGCTGAAATGTGTGCCTGCAAATGAGTCGTGTGTTGGGCTGATCTTTGGCGGCTCTTCAACTCGGAGACACTTAAAATCACGTAATATTACATTTTCAGTTGATTACTATGTTGGATATATAGCACAGGCGTGTCGGGTACAATTTATTACATGTCACTGAGTCGTCAGAAAGGTTTGTGGACTGAAATTGCAAACATTATTCTCTTCAGTTTGCATTTCACTTGAGATAAAATACACTCAAGTGAAGGAATTTCTTGGCAAAGTCCACGAACTTTCACAACAACCCTCGAAGAATTCCATTTCTATATTACCATCATTGCAATTATCATCGAAACAATCCCTATACAAGCAACGCATACATAAATCCAGTAAAATTTGTACAGTATTTTACATGTTTTGTCTTTGGCGTTGTTTATGTGAGTTGTTTTTGGAATATTTGTCGAATATACACTCCGCACTCTTCGCATATTGTTGTTGTTGTTTCAAAAACCCCAGCATTATATGGCTTGAAGCCTCCGGGTGGGATGGAAAAGTGTAATGAAGCCAAATTATTGTAATGGAATTGCATTAGTTTAATTACCTGTCAGATAATGTAAGTAACATTTCATACGATATATAATTCCACAGGAATTCATGTCACACAACTATGAGCATTCCACACTACACAATATACATAAATTTTGATATTTTATTAACTGCCAATTCTCCGGATAACTCAGGGTGACTTTCGTAGCGGAAAATTGATGAATATCAATTCAATTAGCGAGAGCTATTTTTCTCTGGCCAAAAATATTTTCCCATCCAGCGCGTTATTTGATTGAATTATACTCTGTGTGTTTATATTTTAATATGTTCAGCGGAGGTTCTTTCTCCTCTGCCAGGAGTCCATTGACTGGGGGACTGGGTGGTTTTTATGGCATTCCGCCACTCATGATCCCGCGCACCCCACCCACGCGTGGTAAATGTAAATTTGGGAAAACATCCTGTTGCGCCGGCATTTTTGGTTATGCGTACTACAAAGCTATAGGTTTTGTTTATTAATTTTAAATTAAATCCAAATTAATTAATTTCCAACTCATCTCTGGCATCATACATAGTTTAATTTAATTTAATCCCACGAAATATGAAAGCTACACAGAGAGTACAAATTACCATGAGTGCTTTTGGATTTTTTTTTGTCAAACCTGGCGGTTGTGTTCATGGATCAGATCCACTTTCATCCCCCAAAAAACGTCCACAATACCATCATTCTACGCTGCATAAATTGGCAGTGATGAAGCCATTCTCTGGGGTATTTATCTGCTATGAAGCACAGCTCTTTGATTCCTCACCCTCCCCACAACCCCTAGTGATTGCAACAATAAAATGTTCATTATGCTGTGTTTCATGTAAATAATCAAATTATTGCATAAAAATGTCACTGCACATGATCAAAAGAAACATCTCATGTCATTAATTGTAATGCTCTGACACTGAGAGATGTGTTTTTGTGACACAGAGGGCAAGCTTCAATTCCTCTGTTTTCTAGCAGTGCTGAATAATTTAATTTCGCTATATACATAATATACCGTATGTACATATCACTTACCTAATTTTGTTAATTGATTCGCCTCTATATCATATAAAATTCCAATTTGGACGAAATTAAATTGAATTCACAGTGCTTAAAACGTTTTCAATAATAAATCTAATTGGATTCACTGGGCGCTATTGTTGATGTCACTCACGTGATTGATAGCGGGTATGAGTTTGAGATTTATCGACGGGGAGGGACGCTAAAATAATCGTTTTTCTATCTTCTCGTCACTTTTCTCACACCCTCACAGCGCGTTGTGTCGTCGCACAGGCTCTATTGCTCAAAACTTTTAATCGGCTTCGTCAGAGCTTGAATCTTTGGGGGGCATCAGCTTGTGTTGGGCCCGAATTGAAAGGGTCAACGAGTGGGAAACTCTACAAGTTACAGCCAATTGTAACCAAATTGCAACACCAGCAAAAGCGGTCACGTTCGGCGAAGCGCGTCTTTCCAACTGATTCAGCAGGCAGAGCATCTCGATCAGTCGTCGAGATTGTGACTCACAGGGTGATCCAAGTGGGGGTTTGCACCCCAATGCGCACGCCCGCATGACCGTCATCATCATTGAGCGTGGAAGCGCTTTCCGGAGGACGCGCGCTCTCCTTCGCACTCTGCGAAAATGCAGACACACACTTTCACAATTACTTTTGATTGTTGTTGATTTTTTGCGCACGGAGGGTGGCGAGAGGGAGATGAAGAATAAAAACCACAACCAAAAATGGTTTAACGCAGAGTATGGGTGGCGGATTACACTTTACACACACACAAGGGGTGGATTGCCTGTCTTGGCTCTCCTCCTTGGCAGGAGCAACAGATGAAATCGACAAATACAGTCTCTGACAATATTTCCGGGCGCTGAATTTTCCAACACTCTCAGGTCCTTGACATTCCTCTAACATTCAATTAGCGAGCTCCTGAGTGGAAAATTTAATTGGGTGAAGAGCACAGTGGAATTTTGCGTAATGGGCGAATGTGGCTGCTGGGGAGCTTTATGGGGTGGCATATGGGAACTTATGTTGTTAATTAATTGAGGAAAGCAATTTCACGTTGCGCGCTGAGGTTTGAAAGTACATTTTTTGTACACCAACGATTCCGGTCGATGATGGAGATTGTGAAAAAGTGCACTTTTTCACACGGACGAAAAGACGATGAATCACAGCCAATAGAAATTAGATTCTTAAGCTACAATCAAAGGAATTAACATAGTAGCAATCCATTTGGTGAAATATTACCTCCGTGGCTTGCGTATTCACGAGTTCCTATAATGTATTAGTTGAGAACTTGGCTAAGAGATTGCGGGGAATAAGGATTGAAATACTCAACATGTTAGTTACTTCACTGAGGCACAAAGTCTTCTCCTTGGTCTTCTCACAACAGGTTTGTTTTAGCAGAATAGTTACAGAAAGTCTGCCTCAATTATTTTACAGATATTGCCATGTATTACTTCGTCTGCATTATTCCCTTATCCATAGTTAATCTTCAACCTCTGTCACTAAACCTATTCACATATATATTGATTCCTTTGCAAACTCTGTGGCTTCTTCTCTCCTTCTGTCCGAGAAAAGCCCGAGAAGAGTGACAAATCATGAGGTTAATGCAATATTTTCCTATTTGACTTGCACTTAACAAGGATAAAAGGGTGGAAAGAATGATACTATGTGAATACATATTGAGCTTCCAGCGTGCATTGTTGTCACATTTATGTGTGCTGGTGAAACTCCTTCCCATTTCTCTCTCGTGTGCTGTCTCAAGATTTAATATCCCTTCACATTGGCAATGTGTGGATTGTGATTATGTAAATTCGCTGATTTAATTGAATCATCTCCTGTGACGATATTTCCCTATTTACCCCACGCCATCCTTCTTCCTTACTCTGTTTTTGTCTGTGTGTGTGTGTGGTTGTGTGGCAATGAGGGCGGATGTGCGGCATGCAATAGCCCTTGTTTTATATATTTTATTATTATTATCGCCCAGCCACACAAAAATTTAATATATCGCATTGTTGTCATGAATCGTACATATTGTGTCTTTCACCCTCGCAATTTTCCACCCTGTGACTCCACTACCCAAGGGGTGATAAGGGTTCGTGCAATATTGCGGGGAAATTTTCTTATTTTTCCACTCTCTGACTCTCGATCTCACAGGCTGATTTTCACTGTGGGAGGGAAAAGTGAGAGTGGCGAAGCCTTTCCCGGAATCTGTCCTTCTCCTTTTTTCTTGTTTTTGAAATTGTAGCCACTGGTAATTTGGTATGTGTGTGTGCTTTAAGCATTTATGAAAATATGTGGCAGAATTGCAGGATGTCTCAGCGCGCTCTGTGTCTCTCTCTCGGGTGTCTTCCTGGTTAGCATGAGCCACTTGGCCTGAGAGTATATATTTCTCTGTGGCCGAAGTCAAATGGGGGAGCCGAAATGATGGGTGAGCGTGGGGTGGGACAGCCAAAAGGGGGCTGCAGACGGAGACGGAAGCAAGCCGTTCCATTAGCTAAATAGAATATAAGGAGAGAAGAAGAAATATACACAAAAGCACATTATATTTTTATGCGATGTTGGAGTATCCATTAGATTATTGTTGTTTCCATCATTCGCAATATCAAGAGTTAATAATGATGATGATTGTATGTGTTTCTCTGCCTCCTTTTTGCCTCTCCGCGCGCACAGAGGCTTTCATCCATTAAGCCTTCTGCAGCAAAAATCCATGATTATGATGACTTCACTTTGCCAAAATGTCAGCCAATGAAGTTTCCTCTGCGTGTGTGTGTGTTGTAAATTTAAACGCATGGGGTTTTTGAGCTTTTTTTCCTGCCCACCCACTGGCACTTTGTATGCAACGATGGTGAATTATATTTTCAATCAAACACACAGACTCAGCAATTTCCTATGTCACACTCTTTTGACGTGGGTGGGAGGACATGTCGCGACCTCACAATCTCCCTTTTCAATTTCCTCCCAAGTGAATAACCCGGAGAAAGGAAATTCACAAACTGCTAGTTGACCTCCACTTATATCTCTCCCATTCGCTTCACGCTCTCTCTCTCTCTCTCTCATTCCTGCAGTGGTAATTGGAAAAGATATTCTGTCTTGAAAAAAAAAAAAAAACTGCTTAGCCAAGAAGGAGAGAAGTGGAAAGTAAAAAAAGGTGAGAAGGTAAATCCTTCGTGAAAGGTTTACCATCTTCGCATTTCTCTCAATGATGTGGAAAATTTAATTTTCTTACTGTTATCTGGATTTACAGGATGATAAAAATTTCCTGGAAATGTCTGAAAGAGCATTCACGGTAAAATTTCGAGGTCTTTAAGCTTCTCTTAGTGTTAATTTAAATCTCTCGTAATTTCTGATATTGTTGACTTATCCTGGGTTAATACAATTGACATAGAACTCATACTGTAATATGCAATTTTAGACAGACAAATTGAATGGCTCAATTTCTATTATAAACTTGCAAGCTGCAATGAGAAATTAATACAGATTTTTCCCCTTGATTTGCTAGGTGAGAAAGCAGCAAGTGCAATTAATTACATTTACTTTGTTTGCCTCGGCGGTACATATAGTCGACGCCTGGACGCGCACTGATTGCCATATGATAGACGCATCGGCTTCCAGATGCCCACAATCGGATGATCTCCAACCACCCCATCGATATGAGGGCTGATACACCGTCGCACATTTCATTTGCACCTCAACCCTCGGTGTTTACCGGGCGGAGGTGTGAGGGTTGAAAGCTGGGGAAATTAAATTCTGTTCATTTGGTTGGGTACAAATCGAAATTAGTCTTGCGTTACACTGCCGATGATGAAGTTGTTCGCCTCGAACGGGAGATTTGTGGAATTGAAGATGGCCCGATTTAGGGTGAAATTTTAATTGGTAACTCTCAATGGAGTGTGGATATTTGCTTGCAGATTTTGACAGTATTGTATTTACTCCATTTTCAAATCCTTCCAATTTCCACTTTTATCCAATTATAACAGTGAGGTAAATTGAATGATAAACTATTGCGCTGAATATACGTTTGAATCATCAGAAGTTTCTCCCTTTGTACATATCATGCGTTCAATAGACTGTGAGATTTGCGGAAGTACGTTTCTGCTCCGTCTCGTCATTTCACCCCCCCCCCCCCAAAAGGGCAAAGCACTATTCCAGGCTCTCTATGGTTGCTCGATGAAGAACCTTAGGCACACAGGCAAAGTATACTGCCTCCATTCGCCATTCCACCTTATCATTTGCCAAATTCACCGACAATATGCCTCTGATGTGGCGCTGAAAAAAAGAGTTCTGAGAGAAAAATGCCACGACATGATCATGTGAGTCAGTGAGCGTGAAAAGTATCTGAATCGCGAGCTTCAAAGTGCTTCGCCGCTCATGCGAGAGTGAATTTTTTGGGCGCAAGTTGAAAAAGACGCCGCGCTTTGTTCCCTGTTTGTTGTCGCATGATCAAGTCCCAAACTACTCCACGGCGTCTTGTGGGGTTTGTCTTGAGTGGGCGCGCACACACACACGCATTTGTGGATGGGCGGACGGTGGATTACATGGAGCGACACTCGAAGGACCAGTGGAGCTGCAAGGCACCCCTTGACGCTAATTCAATTAGAGGGAATTTCTAATTAAAGCGAGGAGGACTCCTGAAAGCATAATTTCCCTGCGGGGAGGATGGGGTGCTCCTCAAAGCTTACATGGAGGCCATGCGGGGGTGGCGTGAAAATTGAAATTGGACGAAGGAGATTCCGTTGTGGATAAGGGATATGCAATTAAATTAAATTACAGGAGGAATAATGTAGCATCGAGTGAATATTGTGAATACATATATACCCAAATGGATTTCCATCTCTCATGCTGGACGACTTTTCAGCTCCTCTGGAAAATTTGTGCATTTATTTTTCATTCAAAAACGACGAGGGGAGAGAAGAAGAAGGAAAAAAGCCAGAATAACTAACACGCCCAGTCTTCTTGGACTCCAGGACATACTCCATTAAACATGCCATTTGTGTGACACGTTAGATTTGCCAGGACGAATGGTAGAAAGTGTAAAAGAGTGGCCCCATGAATAATTACGTTTGATATTTGTATGGTGAAAAGAATTCGTCGCAGTTGGAAATCTCAACTGGGGAATCGCTCGCCATTTAGAATATTCATTCACTTCTGAAAGGGATTTTAAAAATGGAAAAACCGAATTTGCATGTGTAGAGAAAATTCAAAGTACAAGCTGAGATGCAATTACAGATTGCTTGGGAAGTTGACAGTGGAGATAATAGGAAGATGAGATAAGAATCAACGCACTTACTTCATGGATTATCCCATTTCTGACACCAATTTTAATTAGGATTTAAAATTTAAAAAAAATCTAATCAGATTAAGGGGTCCAATTAAAATAATTCTGAAAACGTTTAGCAAGATTCAGAGGAAATTGTGAGGTTATGAATGCGTTTAAAAAATATT